GGAAAGATTTCTAGCCAATAAATGTAATGTGTTATAACTTGGCCTACCATCAATACATGAAAGTGTCATGGCCATAAAGTGATTAAAATAGCAAAAGATCAGCTATATATTTAACTGGGCTGTTCATATCAAGTCATTTCATCTGTATAACGTTTATTCTAAAGCTTTCATGACTGTTCCTCACTTTTCTCTGCTGAATACTGTGTCTGGCTTATACCTCCTAATTTTCAAATCTGGCCTCTCAAAAAAATCATGTACAAAATCAAACACTTTTCCTTACCAGGTGAAGACAGGTCAAAATCTGGTTTCTGCCTTCCTTTATCATCCCACTGTTGTATAAAAGTTCAAAGTTCAAAAGGGAATTTAGCTGAATCTTTTGATTTTACCACCAAGAAAAGTGAAATTCTGTCTTAAGAGTTCTCTTTGCTCCAATGCTAGGAAGTGATGATGTTTTTTGATGGGATAACTCCAAAGGCCTAGAGTTAAGGCACTATGATAATCACATCCTTAAACACAGAATAAATGTGACATTATCTCCACAATTAGGGTTTGTCTGGCTGTGTCCTCCTACTTCCTCACATTTGGCCTTTAAAGGAACAACCTTTAATAAAGGGTTTCAAGCAGCCCTGGTTTGTGGACCAGAGCACAAACATTAGGAGTTTGTCAATCAAGTTAACAGACACATGAGAATGAAAAGCATGAGCAGGTGGAACCATCAGAGCCCCACAGCCAGTGTTCAGGGCCAACAAGCCCAATTCTCTTATTATAAAGGAAAGAAATGAGGCTCCAAGAAGTTAAGTGACGGGCAATGCTAGAAGGAGATCCAACTTTGAGGTCTGAATTTCTCAGCTTTAAATTCCAATCAACATCCTTAGTATTCACTATAGTTAAAAGAAAAGATAGAAAACAGGAGAACTTGATGAAAAAAGGCAGGTAAAAAAAAAAACCTCATGAATCAGATTTAAAAAAAAATGTATTATACAAGTGAAATCAAACCCCTTTGGGTAAAGACAGAACTCTAAGGGAAAAAAAATAGCCAAACTATTTACCTACCAGCCTGGCAAAAATCCAGGCTGTGAGGAAACAGGCATTTTCATATATCGTTGGTGGAAATGCAAAAATGGTACAATCCCTGTAGAAGGGAATGTGGTGATATCTAGAACTATATATATATACATCTTTCACCCAGAGATTCCTTTTCAAGGAATTTAATCCAAAGAACATTGGCAAAAAACACAAAATGTCACATGCACAGGATGATACTGCAGCTGTATTAATAAAAGAAAAGACTAGAAATAATCTGAAAGGACATCAATGGGTACAAAAAAAATAAGGAAGATCTCTAATCTCTGTACAGATATTTTGTAGGATATTTTGTTCAGTGAAGAAAGCAAGGTATGAACAGTACACTTATCTTTTCTGTAACAGCTGTGTTGGGGAAACAGAGATACACACACATACACACATACACACATATACATATATACATGAATGTATGTATTTGCTTATCCTTGCAAAATAAAAAGGATAGACCTCTCTGAATATATATTGTGTATCATTTTGGTTTTGGAAATGTTTTACATATTCAAAAAACAGTAGCAAATTGAAAAATTACCATGCATTGAACACAAAATAAAACAATCTAACTATGTATCAAATTGATAAATACCAGAGGAAACAATTATTTCAAGTAACCTCAGAAAACAGCATTTTGCTCTTTATTTGTTCTAAGGGCAAATAAAGCAGCAAAGAAATCCTAAACTGCATTCAATAAACTTACAGTTAGGAGTTATATTGGTGCTGTTTCCAAATTATTTTATATGTATCGTATAGGATAATGAAAGTAATTTAGTTACTGTCTTTAGGAGACAAGATTTTCAGCATAGGTGAATGATATTCAAATATAAAACAAAAGTTTTATACTTGTATAAAGTATAAAAGTATTTTTATAAGTAAAAACCATATAATGTTAAATTTGAATTAGATATACTAATACAAACTGATGATTTTTTTTCTTCTTACAAGTACGTACTTCCTGGCTCTGTCTACTGTAAGGACTTAGAAGCAATAACATTCCAGCAGAAATGGATGCACCTTGCAATCAGATCTTGGTTTTTAAATACCATTGCCTCTGAAAGGGACCACAGTCAACTGGGCCTGAGGACTGACTAGTGAACCCAGATCCTTTCAGTGGGAAATTTAGAAAGCAATTAGAGGAATAGTTGATTCCAAGTCTGGAACAGGAAACACACAAAGGGGTCTTGGACATCTTGATGCTGCCAGAAAGTAAGGGAACTACCAAAGACTAATATCTAAAGGACACAGAAGCCAATCTAGACAGGCTCCCATAGACCAAAGAAAAGAAAAACTGAACATGAAAAGGATACAAGAGGTAATTGATTCAAATTTGAAAAGAATGAACAAAAGAAAAAAAACCTCACTGGCTATCCTGAAGTAACTCGGGGACCAAATCTTACTCTGAAAATTAAAAGAAAAGAATTAAATATGTATACTGCTTTTCCTGTATGATCTGTATTTCAAGGCACTAAATAACCCTAGCTGATGAAGCAAAGCTCCTCTTCGCAGAAAAACTTCATTCAATCAAAAAAGTAACAATAGAACTAGAAAATCTTCATTTTGCAATTTCTACTGCAATGCTTAAATCAGGCTAAGACCATCAATGGATAAAATCACTGGATAAAAGGCTGACAGAGAACTTTACAAGTGGAGGGGCCAGGCTGTCGTTACTTGAACCTCTAATCATCTAAGCATCACTAAAGATAGGAGAGCCAGATCCCATGTCTCTCCTGTAGGGTGATATGAAGTTCACAGTACCACCTGCGAAGCAGTCTTGACAAAAAAGCCAAGGGTACTTGAACCAGAACCTATTCAGGCATTTAGCGCTGACTTCCATTTATTGAAATAATGGAGAGAGAGGAAACAAACTAAGTGATAGTTTTCTGACTCTCAGTGAATAAATCTTTCCACTCTACCTCTCCTTACCTCTTTGATCCTTAGAACTAAATAAAACCTACAATTTTAAGGCCAGTTTTCAAAAAGCACCTGTCTCTCTCTATCTAGAGCTTTCAAAAATGCACTTAATTTTAAGTCTATCATTCACTTCTTAAAGTTGCTGAATCTTGTAATATCAAGAACAGGCATGTTACTGAGCTGTGTTTGAAAGACTGCACATAAACTTAATTTATTTAAATGACTGGGTAATAGACTTTAAAAGGTTCTTGCGGATAAATCCTTTGGTAAAATGAATGGCTTAAGTTCAAAATTTATTTTTGCACTTCAGATCGTATTTGTGTTTAGCAGCCTGCCCTCACCGAGTGTTAAAATGGCCATAGTTTTCTGAGGAAAAGTCAAGGCAGATCTAGCTGACTGACTGACAGAACTAATGGAAAAGGTCAAGGGCATAGTCACCTCCATGACTGAGCACTGGAGAGCAGGTCTTCTTCCTCAAGGCCAATGATGTTTGAGGTACCAGATGGTTTCATTTTTCAACTGTGGTCCAAAGAGAGGGTTGAGTTGGGCCAGAATTGCAATCAGCCAACTGAATGGATGATGGGGGAGACACAACAACAGAAAGGGGTGAACTCATGTTGGAACATGACCATTTTCAATTAGGACGAAAAAAAAGTGCTGTAATAAATTTAAATCTATTCTGTTCAGACCAAACCTTCATTACTACTTAGAGTTGATGGACCACATTGTGCTGATGGCAGCACATCTTATAACAAAATGCTTCACAGAACATAGCCTACCTTCGTTTCAATACCTGCTGACAAAGCAGCTAGACTTGGTCACAGCACAGGAAATCCAATATTTCCTGAATTCATATGTTATCTTGATATCAGAGCACTTTTACCTAATCTCGATTTCTCATCACAACTTTCAGGCTCAGGAAAAATGGGTGTTACTTTATCCACTCCCCAGATGCTGAGACCCACCACTGATAAAACAGCCATGTTTCCTGGGACTGCCGAGGTTAAACCTCAGTCCACCAACCTTCAATGAGACTGTAATGCTTGAGCTCCCTTCTCCAATCACCATCCCCACTCAAACATGCAACCATCTCATGGGACCCAGTGGAGCTGTACCAAATGGGCACTTAACACCTCCCACCTCTTCAGAATTCAAGTAACAAGGTATTCCTCTGTATTATGGACTAATTATGGAGGAAATACAACGGTGTTATGTATTACCTCAGGGTTAGAAGTGAAAAATAGCACACAGTCAAAATTCTTTAAGACTTTCTTACTGCTCATGAAGTTCTGAATATGTGGTTTTATATCCAATAGAGGAATTCATATACTCAGTGAAGTCTGCAATTCACTGAGCTAAGATGAAAGCAAAGAACAAAAAGGCATATGCAAATATCTGGCCATTCAGACCATCTTGTGGTTTACGTACTAAATAAATATTTAATGAGCACCTACTAGGTTCCAGCCCCCAGGATACAAAATGTTGCCACCCTCACAAAGCTTGCATGATATAATGTTAGAAAGGAAATAAAGTGTAGTGAAGAAATAGAGACTGATGTAAGTAGTGGAGGTACCACTTGATAGGGTGGCAGGGAAGGCCTCTCCAAGAAGGTAACCCTGAGCAGACACCAGAATAAAGCAGAATACACACTGCTGTTAAGTCCTACTCAAAATATATAAAATATATGAGCTGATTAGAATCTTTCTTATTTGGGGGGAGGGGATATGGTAAACAAGCCCAGTCTCCATACTGATCTGGGAGAGTAGATTTTAACAACATAATCTGCTTTCGCTATTATTTCTGCAAGGGATAGAGGGAATTGTTTTCCAAGGAAAAGTATATTGCTACATTCCTCTCCTTTTAAAATTACAGGGCTTTAAATTTCCCTATAAGAGAGGAAACAACCAAACCCAACCAGGCCATTACCTGGCTGCATCTCTTTTCTTCCATTTGCTGTCATTTTTAGCACTCTTCCAATCAAAGGATCAAAACACTGATTCTGATCACTACTGACCAGACTGCTGGAGACTGCCAGCACAGTACGAGAGACCTGCACGAGCAGAAACAATGCGCAGCCCTGCCACCCCACCTCACAAGCTGGTTTTGTGACAGGAAACATGACACCTGAGGAAACTGGGCCAAAATAGATAACTCAAGCTGACTCACTTTATATACAAAAAGTTAGTTCAGATGAGATTCTCTGATCTGTACTTAGAACTAGAGTATTAAACACAAACAAATCCGGAGCCCTGTAGTTGAGGTTTAACATCTATCTGGCACTGTAAAAAAAGAAAGAGTAGGCTAGCACAGGCAGACACATTTAAAAGCTCTGTGACTGTAGTAAACACTAATGGTGAGAGCTAAGAGTCACAGAAAATTCCATACAGACCCAGGACTTCCCCAGTCCCAGAAGGCAATAGAAGTTGCCTATAAAAACAGTCATTCATAAAATGGCAGCAGACTCAGAGACTCCAGGAATGAACTAGTGGTTACCAAAGGGGAGGTGTATGGGAGGGTGGGTGGGGAGGGAGGGAGAAGAGATTGAGGGGTATTATGTTTAGTATACATGGTGTGGGGGATCATGGGGAAAACAGTGTAGCAGAAAAGGCACATAGTGAATCTGTGACATCTTGCTGCACTGATGGACAGTGACTGCATTACGGTATGGGTGGGGACTTGATAATACAGGTAAATGTAGTCACCACAATGTTTTTTCATGTGAAACCTTCATAAGAGTGTATATTAATCATACCTTAATAAAAAAAACAGTCATTCATCCTTTTGGAAGAGACTGAAATAACTGGCCAGTGCTTAAAAGTACTAAGTAGAAAGTATGTTAGAACCCTGAAGGAACAAACAGCAGCAGACTCACAGAACCCAAGAATGGACTAACAGTTACCAAAGGGAAAGGGACTGGGGAGGATGAGTGGGAAGGGAGGGATAAGGGGGTGGGGGGAAGAAAGGGGGCATTATGATTAGCATGTATAATGTGGGGGAAAACACGGGGAGGGCTGTGCAACACAGAGAAGACAAATAGTGATTCTACAGCATCTTACTATGCTGATGCACAGTGACTATGATGAGTATGTGGGTATTTGGGGGGAACTTGGTGATGGGGGGAGTCTAGTAAACATAATGTTCCTTATGTAATTGTAGATCAATGATACCAAAAAAAAAAAAAGTATGTTAGAACCTAGTCTGTCTCCTGTCTTCTCCCAAAATGTATAGTACCAAGTAATAGCACGACCTCCCAGCACTTTGAATGATGTTGTATAGCAGTGCCTCTTCTGTATACTGGCTGCACATTTATAATCATCCAGGCAGCTTTAAAGAACACTGATGCTATCCTTCACAGACAATCTTTCTCTTAATTCTAACATGATACAATTAAGGAAATTGAGGCAGAAAGAGGCTAAATGGTTTGTCTCCAGTCACAATACTAATTGGGTGGTAGTAATTTCTGAACTAGAAATCAGGTTAGACTAAAGTTCCCATTATAAAAGTTACCTTCTGAAATATTTTAACTGACAACATTGCAAAAGGTATCAATTGGCAAAAAACAAACTGTCTAGGAGTTACTGAAACAAATAATCCATTTGCTGATTATTAAGTCCATCAGAAGTCTTTGTTACCTGAGATATAGAATAAATATTCCAAAGCAGAAACAAAGTCCACTTTGCTTGTTCAGGTCAGTGTTCAGATACTTGAATTAAATGTTACAGACTATTTTAAAAGTTTCAAATCAAGCAAAACATCTCACTTAAACCCCAAACACACCAAAGTTCAAGGGAATTCCTTGAGAAAGAGCCAGGCCAGTTCATTAAAAAATTCAAGGAGGAATTTTCCCCCTCTAGCCAGCTGAGCTCTCTGCCTGCCTTGACTACCACCTGACTTAAAATTTCCCTTTAAGGCTGATAAACACAGGGGAGAACTGGAAGGAGAAAAAAAATCCACTCTGAATTGATGGAAGTGGGTGGAGAAGAGCTCATATTCCAATGAATCTATTACTTCCTGTGTCCAAGAAAAGAGAATGAAATGCACCATTCATATTTGCCCAGACTATGTCCCATGTCTCCATGACCTGCAGTTCAGGCTAATATCTAACCATGTGAGGCTATTCGAACTACTGAGGCAGCTATAGTGACGTAACATCTTTCAGAGAACTGAGGAGCTGGAGCTGATCTGTCAATGCCTTGCTCCATGTCAGGCTCTGAGTATGCAAAGAGGAATCTGTTAAGGGGCCAATTCCTGAGCAGCTCACAAGCTTGTCAGAGAGAGCAGTAAGTATGCTTTGGAAGAGATACACACAGGAGTTTTCATTCTACAAATACTCATAGGTCACTTTGTCAAGAGCTCAGTTCTTGGTTATTAGAATTCTATAAGCACAAAAAACTTCTGCCCCACAGAAAAGGCTATAACCAGCTCTCTCAAATCTTGCTTTGTTCTTTTGTTACCCCTTCAAATATGAGGAAAAGGAACAAAGACATGGTTACTTCACATGGACATACAGATCAAACCAGTAATGGCTCGGCTTCCCTGGTAAATGTGGAAGTCTGGCTAGGACTTATCTTCTGATCCACTGTCCCTCCAGAGGGGGCCATGACAGCAGTGACCTCTATCAGTGGGCTCCTTCAGAGATAACAGAGATGCTGGACAGCAACTTGCCCTGTCTCCACCAAGATGACATCTGTCATACCCGCTCATCCCAATTCAATGACACAAATTCTTTCAAGGGCAGCAATGCTATTAGACATTATTAGAAAATACAGTTTTCATCAATGGATAAATGAATGGATGAATGGATAAAGAAACTGGCATATATACATATGGAATATTATTCAGCCATAAAAAAGAATGAAATCATTTACAACAAATCCATTTGTGACAATATGGATGGGCTTTGGAGGCATTATGCAAGTGAAATAAGTCAGACAAAGAAAGGTAAATACTGTATGATCTCTCTTATATGTGGAATCTAAAAATTCATATATCTAAATCTAAATCTAAAAAAACACCTATAAATACAAAAACCAAGCTTATAGATATAGAAAACAGATTGATGGTTGTCAGAGGTGGTGGAGTGGGAAGTGGGATTGATGGATGAATTTTTTTTGTTTTTAAATAAATTGAATTTAAAAAAATAAATGGCATCTTTTATTACTGTTGTAGATGGACAGAAAAAAGAGAAAGAAAATGTGGGATTCAGTATAAGGCAAGTCTGGATTTTAATTGCAGCTACACCAAATAATAGTGGAGTGACTCCAGAAAAGTGACCTTACAACCCCAAGCCTGTTTCCACTTTTACAAAATGAAGATAATTCCTGCCTCAAGATGAAATAATTAAAGATAATATATGAAAGGGCTTTGTTATAGTAGCTGACAAATCAATGTTCAATTAATACTAGTTATCCCTTCTCTTTCTCTGTGAGACAGATGAATATGTATTCAAGCCATGGAATGAAATATAACCTATTTACAAGGAGTTTCTCATGCAGCACTGAGTCATTCTCATACCCACCTCCTCTCCTGCCCTCACTCCCTCTGTGGTAGGCAGAATTCTAAGATGTT